TACAGAAGGAGAGCCTGAAAATGTTCCAAGTATGGATACATTCATCCAGCAAAGCAAGGACATAGCAGCCTAAGCACAGGAAAGCACAAACTTTTGTCGTCACTAGGGTGTTATAATGAAGGGGTCTGCACACAGCTACATACCGATCATAAGCCATCACCACCAACAGGTCGCTTTCAATAATGGCGAAAAATCCAAAAAAGAAGAACTGAATGGCACAGTCACAAAAAGAGATAACGTGGACTCCTGTGAGAAGGCCTGTCATTACTCTGGGAGTGACAGCTGAGGAGTAACCTATGTCAGCCAGAGAGAGGTTGCTGAGAAAAAGGTACATGGGAGTGTGGAGACGGGAGTCCAGCAGGACCAAAAGGATCATCCCCAGGTTCCAAACAAGAGTGAGGAAATAGATGATCAGAAAAGTTATGAAGAGTGGAATCTGCAGCTTTGGGTCACTGGTTAACCCCACGAGAATGAACTCTGTCACCTCTGAATTGTTCTCCATAGGGACCCCTGGGAAAGTCAGTGGCTGTCCTGCTGCAATGAGAAAACAGAATCAGGATGACAGAGGAGAGACCATGTGCTGATATCAGTGATACATCTAATCTACTCTACCTTAAGTATTGCCATGGCTGTTATCCGGATTCCCTAGATGTCACACATGGTTACTGCACACCTACTGTCATCAAGTCAATTCCGACTTACAGTGACCTTAACGGACAGAGTAGAACTGCCCTAGTGCGTTTCTGAGACTACTCTTGATGGAAATGTCAAGCCGCATCTTTCTTCAGCAGAGCTATTGGTAGTTTTGACCTGTTGACCGAGTGGTTAGCAGCCCAGACTAACCCACTACTCCACAGTGCTGCAGTCTCATGAATGGATTTTTTATTAAACGATAGGGCGTCCCAGCTGAGAGGATTTCTGACAATAAAGTGTATGGAAGGCAAGTGAACTATGCAAGGTCACAAGATCATTTACAGACCAGAATGGGGAAGTCTTTCAAGTCAGCTTTTTCTGAATGTTACCACTGTATCATAAGGACATAGGTTGTGCCTAATCAGACTCCAAACCAGAACCACTGCCATCAAGTTGATTCGGAGTCCTGTTATGTTGAGGTTAGGGGCCATCAAGTCTGTTACGACTTAGAGCACCCCATGCATCACAGAAGGAGACGCTGCATGGTTCTCTGCTATCCTCACATTTGTTCCTATGCCCAGACCCCTGGTGTCAATGCACACAGTATCCATGCCTTTTGTGGAAGGCCTTCC